AGAGTGACTAAGAGATTAAACATTTTTAGTCTATTTATAAAGCGCGTGCATTAGGAACTCTATTAGTGAAGACAGTGAATATTTCTCTAACACTCCTGAAGCCACAGCCTGTTTGCTGCCAGCGATTCTGCTTTCATGTTTCGGCGCTGTGGCCTGAGGGGGTCTTAGAAAGCCTGGATATGTGGAGCTGCCAAATGAGTGATAGAGATGGCTGTCTACACATACACACGTGTACAAGTGGCTCAGTGTCTCCCACTGCTGGACTGACACACACAGAGCGCACGCAGCAATACTTTGCACCTAAGCAGCTCAAGCACAGCGTTTAGCAGTCAAACCCATGAGCAACCATTTACACAGGGACTTGAATGACAAACGCTCCATGTAAATGGATTAAAAAACAGGGGGAATCTTAGATGTGGTGAAGTTTTCTGGAAGCAGATGTTTAACATTTTGGGAAAGAGTCTCCAATGTCAGAGAGAAACCTGGAACTTTAGGTTTTCTGCCATGGAGGACTTTGCAGTTTCTTAGTAACACAAAAAGCTATGTTTTTTTTTTTAAAAAAAACTAAAAAAGAGAAGCTGGTAAGGGAATGGTTGTTTATAGCTGTTGTTTGTAAATGACAACAGGAAAGTTTCGCAGACGTTCCACAATATTAAAAGTAAATATTAACAAAGAAAAGGTTAATTGCTGTGGTATAAGAGTAATTAAACACTTTGGATCATGCTGTAATTGGAAAATACCACTTCGGGGTGGTAACAGCTCTCCACCACCCCATTGTTAATTACCTTCTTATAACAGCATGACCCATCATTCTTTATGACCCGTCACTGCATATCATGTTTACTGACCCTTGAGCATTAAATCACAATCTCCATATTAATTTTGATATAGTTTAACTGTCTACTTGGTTGCATACTGCAGTAGCAGACTAAGTATCTTTATCAAATATACCTACATATATTGCACGTATGTAGCCTACACCTGTATGTACTGTATAGCCACCTACTTAATGTAAGGAGCATGAAGAAGTAAAAATGTATATCTTGTAGTACTTTACATTTAAAATTATAACATGCAATACACACACACACATCATACACACACATATACATACACACACATATATGTATATATATGTATATATATATATATATATATATATATATATATATATATATATATATATATATATATA